TTTTTTGGTCAGCGTTTGTAAGCCCGAGTCGCGCCCCTGCAAACTGAGAACTTCCTTTATGGGGAAGAATTTTCTCACGTAAGGGCTGCAGATACTGGATTGTAAAGGTTTTAATAACAACATACAGGGGAACAGATTCCAAAATCTTAAAGTTTGTTTGAAACATAAAGTCTTTGTTACGTTAATATTTTAATATTTTAAAAGAAGAACTTTCAGAACCTTAGGAAATAAAAATATAAACCCTAAGAGTCAGTTAAACCTTAAGAAGCAAACCTTTTCAAAAGCATTCTTACACGTGTTTACACAGTGAAATATTTGGTGGAAAGATCCTGGTCCATGCCTGGGCAGTATCGAAGCTATTTAGCTGGCCTGACAGGTTACCTAGGGATTCTCTTGTCTTGGAGAGCCTTTTGTCAATGTAAAGCTGATGTGGCTGTTTTCTGCCTCCTCTCCTGTGGTTCGTGTTGCATGAAGGAAGCGCGGTGTGGCCAGAGCGCAGGTGAGCTTTGACCAGCGCTGCCTGCTCAGATGGTTTCTGGGCAATGGTCGGGGGCCATTCAATTTAATTTTGATTATTCAAAAGGCCTTAATGGCCTTTTGAATAATCAAGGTGCTGTATCGGCCCGTGGCAGAAGCCGTGGTCAGAGCAGGTAGAAAATGGGAAGTTCTTGATGAGTCCAACCCCTTTATTCTCTCAAATTCACAGTCAGCTCAACAGTTCTTGAGAGTCCCAGTCATAGCAATTATTGGGTAAATAAAAAGCAAAAAGAGGGATGGATCCCGTGTCTAGGAGGTTGGCCTGTCATGTGAGGGTGTTTATAAATGCCCATACAGCTTGTGTATTTACACAGAAAGCCAGGCGGAGCGCAGGTAAATAATTACTGCTAAAATGCTATTACTTTCAGTAAATACAAACTAATATTTGCTGCTCATCACACAGTATTTACCGAGGAAGCCAGAAGAACCAGAACCAATGTTTGTTCCCAAAGAGGATTTCATGCCAGCTCCCAGAAATACATCTACTCATGTCTTTCCCTGTAATGGTCCTCTGCCTCCTCTTGGCATAAATGGTTTGGATAATACAGTCCTTCACTATTTGTCTCTGCATCTCACCTCTATTTCCACAAGGAAAAAAAGAAAAAGGCAGAATAATAAATAAGAAATGTTAAAATGGCTATAAACAGAAATATATGTCTCCACAAGCTGTAAAGGGGATTAGGCATGATTTGCTATTGTAATGTTGCCTCTGGTCTAGTAATTTCCTTTGGAGAAAAGTGAGCATAGAGTTAAAATACAGTCTAATGACCCAAGCAACATATTTCCTTATGCTAGTACTTTAGATCAGAACCAGCTCCAGCTACTCTGGGTAAGTCACATATGTTATTCATTAGATTTCACCCAAGTCAAAAGTTAACGTTGTAACACTTGTTTTAAAAGATAAAATATGCAATCCCATAGGAAGGGGGCTACTATAGAAGACAGCTGAAAACATTCCCTGGGCAGATGCATAGCTTATATTCAGATTTATCAATAAAAAAATATATTAACAACATTCATCCTTCTTAACCACTTGGAACACGGAGCGGTGAGTGTTGTGCAGAAAAAAAACCTGGTTTCTACCTACTGAGGTTAAAGGATTAATGAATACTTGGCACATGAAAAATGAATAGTGATAGCAGGAAGAAGATTGCATGTAGACAGTGTGATAAGGTGCATAACAGAGAAACATCACATTACACACATTGCTATGCCCTGAGAAAAAGACAAAGCTCATTTCCATTGAATTTCAGATAAAATATCTTAAAACAGCAATATTTATTTTGTCATACTTAGAAATATTTTATTCATTTATATAAAATATCTAAAGAAATCATCCAGAAGAGGGGTTAGCTGACTGACATTGGGTGATAAAATTTGTTCTTCATGAGTTTCATGATGTGCTATGTTGGCTGTTTACATGGTCTATTGCCTGCTACTAAAAACTATTACCTATATACATGAATTTGCAGGGCAGTATTTAAAGCAAAAAAAAGTGTGGCTACATTTGCAAGAGAAATGTATTACATGATTATATATCAATAGATTGATACAGAAGTAGGGATATTACACATTAGTATTTGATATATAACACAGATTTATAGAGAAATGTAGTTCTCAATCACATGCTTTTATGGAAAACCTGTCCTACTAAATCACCATCTTGGCTCACTCCGTACACCTGACCCCTCTATTTCCAGTCTCATCTAGCTTAACAAAACTGAGCATACATCGTTAGTTTGAAAATGTTCTGGCTTACATTTTAACACAGAATACTTTGAAAGTATTTAATATTTCTCAAGATTTAGAAAGCTCTTTTTTCTTGTTTATTTTTTCGCTTGAAAGAAGAAACTTTAATTATATTTCCTCTGAATCAACAGGACTTTTCAGCATTTTTGCAGAAACACGGTCCTAAATTTTGAAATAGGAATCTTAACAGTGTACTGCCATATTATTATTCTAAAATTAGAAAATCCTACTTTTGAAGCCAGGAGAACAAATTAGCCCACTGACCATTTTTGGTTGCTTGTTTTTTCTAAAGCTTGACAAGTGTGTTTATGTGTGATTTTAGACTTTTTCTGTAGTTCTGCTCCAATTCTGCCCAATTACCTACAGAGAAGTACTACTGAATCACTTTTATTGAGTCCAGCTGCTTACAATATCAGATGGCTCTATCCCCTCTTCCTGTAGCTGTTCTTCCCCTAATGGAGTTTCCCAAAACTTACCAAAAACAAGGCACTACAAAATCTCCCCTTAACGTTCCTCAGCCTCTCATCTCTCCTGTTTTTGTGCTCCACTGATAGAAAATATTCTTAATTATCTTCTGTGTTTTATAATATTTTCTTACATCTTAATCCATGTGCAAATGAATAATACTCTTCAACACAATTTAGCAATTTAGCAACTTCTACCTTTAGGCATGTATTAAGGTTATTTTTGTATTAATAACTTATCATTTTTCAAAATGGAGAATGGCACCACCAGCAGAGAGCACACTGGAACCTCAGAACAAAAGAAAACAGAAAATCAATAACATATTTTAACAATGTCTGCCTGAAACACATAAAAAATACTTCTGAAATACATCAGTAATGTGTATGTTGAGAGATTTTGTAATTTAAATTAATACCACTTAAAAAAACCAAACCACTTAAGTTACCTATTGTTTATTCCATTTCAGATTGTACTCAATTTTCTAATTCAAATAAACAACACAAAAAAAAATCAACCTTACTACCCAAACCAAAACCTAAATGCATTTTTATTTGGGATGCATGGTTAGACAAAAGCTTTAACAAATTACATGATGCATTTTAGAAGACAGATTGTGTTCATTTGCTGAACTTAGAGAAACCTTTGGGTTGACAGATAATCAATTCAAATACCTACAGCTGAGGGATTGTATTACTAATTCCTTTTACAAGCCTTCCCTTTTGGATACAGGCAAATAAACGTGTTTTCATTGCCAAGGAATTGACCACACCAGCAGATACAGCCTTTCAGGTATGGTTGCTGTCTTGCAATCCAGCCTATGAACATCTGCCAAGTGCTTCCTCCACTCCTTCTCCATTCAAACTGGTGTTAAGCTCAACATGAATATGTGGACCTTGCCCCTTTATCTGACATCTGCCATCAAGCATGAGAGTACAGGCTTTTTTGGGCTAGGACATCAACTTCTGTTTCTTTGAATCTACTTAGGAAGTGTTTCAACATGCATGGGACTGCCATCAAATGCTAAGCTTTACAGTCAACTCCTAGTTGGCCGTTAACCAAAACAGTCAGTCTAAAACATGGAAGTATAACTATCAAGTATTAGGGTTGTATTTCATAGGCTTTGCTCAAACATCAGCAGTACTATTCCTTGGGTATGATAGTTGAACCGTTTGGACACTGTGTCTGTATTTTTGCCTGTATTTCATATAAACTAATTGTTTGTTCTTAAACAGGCTATCAGAAATCTTTCCTTCAGCCCACTGTCATTAAACCCCCCTCAATAATACACAACCTAGCTCATTGCATAAATGGCAGTGTGTACGCAATGTAGCCTCTATGACACAATAAAGTATATAATGGGGAGTAGTTCAGTTACACTGCACAAGACAGGAGAATTATAATCTGATATAATTAATAGGTGCATGTTTTTCACCAGGGACAGAGATCAAAATACTCAATTTGCCAGATTTAAACTACTAATGTTGCCAAGACACATATTCTAGGAAAGAGGGGCCACAAAGTATTAAGGCTTCACTCCCTTGATCCAAAAACTCTGTGCCCTTTTTATAACCTTGGACTGAGATCATGCATTATTTTTTTTTATTCCAAACTTGCCTTCTTTTAGAAAGAGCCCTTAAAGGCTTATGATCTTATTCAAGATCCAGAAGAACAGGAGGAACAGTTCCTTATTTAGTATAATCTGAGACTGGCAAAATTTAATAGGGAGTAGGAAATCATCAAAGGACATGTTCTGGGGAAGGTTTGATATGTGTATGTCGTTAATGTTTGGTTAACATTCTTGCAAAATAAAAAGCAAACAAAAAAATGGAGATGAGCATTTCCTGGATCTGAATAACATGTCAATGCAATGCCCATGAATGGAATGGATAGCTTTGGATTTTCATTTCAAACTTTGCAGTTTGTAGCTGAGTTTATGAACTTAAATAACACCCTAGTGAAATTTCTTACATCATTTTAAAGTCTGCATTCAATTCCATGATCTCAGCTCCTTGCATTAAACACTGTGTTGTTTGGTTGTTTTACAGACAAAAAAGTGGGGATCATCCCTTAAACTGCTTTATAAAGAGAGGCACACAGTAGTCTCACAGGAACATTAGAGCTACTATTTCTTACTAGAGTTACCATTTCTTATGGTAAGATAGAGACATAGTATAGGACAATCTTTCCCAATTTTCCCTGTAACTCCCACTGTCTTGTGTTCTCTATGGCTTCTGATAATTTTGCATTCCACTCTGTCTTTGTAAAATGTCTGATGATGTCTAATTTGTTCTCTGTGCATGGGTTCCATAGGCTCCAAAAGAAGTTCTACATGTTAAAGACTTGGAGGAGAAGATTCAAAGCCAGAAGAAATGTTTCAGAAATAGCTGGGGGTAGTGTGCAAGAATAAGGAGCCTTCTGCAGCCAGGTTAGCAAAGGAACACGTTCAGCTGGGCATAGATTTTGCATCTAGTAGGCAGCCAAAAACATCTGGGATATCTTTTTTGCATGTATTGTCATAGCAATCTTTCATGCTTTTCCTGAAAAATTTTTAATTAATAAAATAAAAATTTAGTTAATTAAGTAACAAATATTTTCAAGAACTTATGTTTTTTATCCCAGTTGTTTTTAATTTAGTGAAGCTCTTTGTTCTCCATGGAGATTTTAAATAAATTACAACAGACTAAATCTCCCAATACATAACCACTTAGATGTTTCCTCTTTACTCATGCAGCATTCCTCCTCCCCATCTTACAGATTCTTTCTGTGTTACTAAAACATTCATGTTGATAACTCTTGATTTCAAGGCCATGCAATGTGGCTTTTCCAGTACCAACAATGCTTGGATTCAGGAAGCATTTACCAAGCATCACAAATGGAAGAGATTAAGAATCAGATTAGAAATGTGCAAAGGGACCTGAGGGTTCTGGTCAATGGCAAGTTGAACATGAGCCAGCAGTGCCCTGGCAGTCAGGAGGGCCAACCCTGTCCTGGGGAGCATCAGGCACAGCATCACCAGCCAGGCAAGGGAGGGGATTGTCCCACTCTGCTCTGCACTTGGGTGGTCTCACCTCTAGTGCTGGGGACAGTTTTGAGCACCGCAATATAAGATATTAAGCTATTAGAGAGCATTCAAAGGAGGGAAACAAGAATAGGTCTGGGGGGGAGCCATATGAGGAATGGCTGATGCCACTTGATCCATTCAGCCTGGAGAAGAGGGGACTGGAGAAGACCTCACTGCAGTTACAACTTCTTCCTGAGGGGAAGCAGAGGGACAAGTACGGCACTTGTGACCGCTGACAGGGCTCAAGGAAATTACATTAGCTGAGTTGAGGGAGGTTTAGGTTGAGTATCAAGAAAAAGGTTTGTCTCTCAGAGGGAAGTTGAGCACTGGAACAGGCTCCACAGGGAAGTGGTCACAGCACCAAGCCTGTCTGAGCTCAAGAAGTGTTTGGACAGCACTCTCAGTCACACATGGTGTGACTCTTGGGGTTTCCTGTGCGTGGCCAGCAGTTGGGCTTGATGATTCTGATGGGTCTCAACTCAGCATATTCTATATTTCTGCTACTGACTGAAAATGAAAAATGGTTCTTTTCAACTCTTCTGTTATGTAATTAGGTTGGCTTGAAATGCCTGGGTTTGCACCTGAGCATCATGGACATATCTATGATCATGGTGATTTCTGGATAGTATGCTATTTCTTGATACGGAATGTTGATGACTCACAAGCTTTAAAGGCTTTATCTGGACTCAGTTGTTCATATCACATTATAGATAAATAAATTGAGTAAATTATTTTTTAAATTAGTTATAGGGTTTTTTTAAATGCTGAATTTCACAGATTATTAACCACAGTTGTACCACTGGGTATCAATATGACAGCTGAAAAAATCAAAGCATTGTATTATAGCAATTGCTTACTTAATGTCTGGGCTTGTTTGTGTGATTTTTGTCTTTTGAACTAAGAGAATGAATTTGTTTGAGTGACTGCAAAGCTTAGTAAGTACCAGTTATCAATTCTCTTTCTAATGACAACTGATGACATGATTTTTACAAATGGTTGAGCATTTGGCAAATGATAACCATAGAAATCGAATGAGCTGAAAGAAACTCCAGTCTGCCCTATTGTCACCACTGAGCTGACAGATGGGAAAAAGAGGAGGAGGTTGTGATGCTCTCCCAGAAGCCCAGGGGCACACCGCAAAATGACTGCTGAAGTGCCTTAACAGACCCTAAGTGAGAGAGGAGCAGATTTCTGAAGAGCAGACATCACCTATGTTTTGCTTTGCTACAAAAGCTACCCTGTCTACCACAGCCTCTCTAAATGGGCTGGCCAAATTCTCAACGGAGCACTTAGCACCAGAACTCATTTGAACCTCAGTAGTAGAGGTAAAATTGAATTTCCCTGACAGAAGGAGGAGCTGGAGCCAGGCTACCTCCTCCAGCAGCTGCTGGAATAGTGAGAGGGCAGGACTGTCCTTACAGCTGCCACAGGCAGGTGGCCTGAATGCCAGCATCTGCTGTTGCCCTGGACACCGTCACCTGCCTGGGCCCTATCAGCCCAGCCAGGGCACTTTGCTATCCTGGCCGTCTGCTGCTGTGAACATCTGCTTGCTCTGCTGGTGCCTAAGCAGCAGGGAAAATCACCCAGTATGCAGAAAAGCCTATAAACCCCGGAATAAGAATTGAGAAATGGGCAGTGGAAGTCCATTGGGATCAGATTGCTCGGCTTTGCCTTTCCTTACCTTTTTTATTTTTTTTTATCTCCACAATTAGTCTAATACATCTCCTTTGGTTTTGTAAAAAGTGACTTGAGAAGTTAAAAGTACCAAACTTCAGTAGCTTTACCCATATGTGCTGTGTGCCTCAGGCTAGACAGCACATATTGGTAGCCAGACTGAGAAGAACATTTACCACATTACCTCTTCAAAACTCACTTTATTTTTCTTGTTGAGCTGGCCCCCATCCAATGTGACACTCCAGTGTGAGCAGTGTAGTGACAGCAACAGCCTCCATGGAAACACACCAGAGCATGAGGCCAGCCATGGGGTAGACAGAAAAGGCAGCTCTGTGATTTTCCTTAGTCTGAGTGTTTTTGCTCTGAACAATTTTTTTAATTTCTAAAGCATTATTATGAGTGCCTCTCCTATGCCATCATGTCTTTGCTATGTCTCTTGTAGCAGTGCAAAGTTGCACTGAACCTGGAAAACCTGGGTCTGATTGCAAGGCATCACCATTCCTCAACCTCAGAAGCCTCCACTCCTCTTTTACATGCTGGAGCCAGGAGGGAACCTGGCTTTCCAACCGAGACACAAATAAATGCTGGCTGCTGTGGGTGGAGGTTTGAATGTGCAGTATGGAATGGCTCTTGTCGACAGTGCCCTGCTGCAGCCTTGGTGCTGCTGTGCCAAAGGTCCTGCTAATTGAATGCCTCTTTTTGGCAAGATGGAGAGAGCAAAGGGAAAGAGCATCTCACAAATTTCCTTCATGTCTCAGAATTTGACATACCCTCTGTCTCTCCCAGGAACAAGTGTATTGGGAAAAGGGTGGGTAAAGGGGAGGTGTTAAGCAGGTTGCTTGCCCAGTAGAGTACTGAGGAGACTTAGATGATCAGGGTGCCTCGAGGACAAACAAAAAAATTCAATGAAACAAAAAAACCCAAAAAAACAAAAAGCAAGAAAACCACCTCCTTAACACCAATGTAGCATCATCAGAGCTATCATCACACCTTCCTTTCCATCATGCTGAAAACTCACTCCCCAGGTAATAGCATGAAAAGTTGTCTAATGCCATTATAATATAATTCATTATATCATTACTTCCTAATATTTATCTGAAATTTTCCTTTTCATACCCTAGACTACCCTGAAGTAAATCTCTGTCTGACTATTCACTGTTTGATGCAGACAGTGAACCAGGTAGCTGTTTGGCATTGTTCCAAGTCTTTGAGCATTTCACAGACAACAGCATAAATCCAGCAAAATTTGTGCACCTACAGGGTACTGCTACTGTGCTAAACTTCCAGCCACCTGGCTTTACATCCACATACAGCATGGCAATACTGAGTTTCACTGCACATCACTTGTAGGCTCCCAGCTCTGAATGCATACCGTGCAGTGGGAAATACCTATTCTAGATGTGTCATGGGGAGAGTTAGGTGCCTGGGATTCACCACAGCCAGAGTACTGAGCAGGGAGTGTCTTAAACTAATCAAGAAAAATGACCAAAAGGATTGTATAGTAAAATTTCCCATCTCAGGATGTAAGGAGCCTACACACGGGTTGCAAGGCAATAGTTTTGGCAGTGTGGTTCTATTTTGAGCTGAGCACCTCAGCCATCTTTCCAAGGAGCTGAATTAGCTCTTTTTTTTATTTAAATGATACATCAGTACTCTGACCATTTGTGACATGTAACACAACATGTAACAAGCACATTTTAATGTCTAATGCCTTAATACATGCATTATGAATAGTAATTGTAGTAATAATAATAATAAAAACAGATTAGTCAGACGTCTTTGTCATAACACTTCAGTGGACATCCAGAATTACACTTGTCTTCCACATGGACTCCAGCACTTCTGACATTGATTTCTTTGCTTCTCATGTCCTTCCTTTCCCAAGTGCTTTGTTATGTATAAGTTATATACAAGTTATGTATAACACCAGGTCACCTAGGCTGTCTGGTGCAAAATCTTTCAGATATAACAACAGATCTTAATAAATCTGGACACCATTTCCTTCGTTAAATTTCCTCACAAGACTCTTTGTTCCCTGATGTCTCAGGCACCAAGAAAACTAATCATGCATCATAAGGGAACAACTCATCTGGCTTCCTAAGTGATACTTCTCATCTACTGAAATTATCCAAAAATCACCATGGGTTCTAGAACTCCAGTTAACACACTTAATATCAATTTCCACTGTATGAACCTAGGTCCTGAGATCACAATAATTTGAACATCTACGTTATCTTAGTGGTCCTCAGCATGTTTATCAAGTTGTTGATGCAGCCTATGAATGTGTGAACTTCACAGGATCTTTCACATCATTTTTCACCTTTTCTCTTCTTCATGTATTCATCCTTCTTGCCTGTCTCTCATTCCAAGAAAGCCTGATCATTCCAGCATTTTTACAGTGTAATACATTAAAAAGAAACTTTGTTGGCTACTTTTAAAGTATTTTATATTGCTTTGTATCACACTATCACACACTACAATACAGCAAAGAATGCCATCTAATTTACATAAAGTCACACAGAGGTTAATTAGTATATGGAGGTTAATTTCAAAAAGAGTGCACTAGGAAAAATGCAGGAAAAAGCAATTGTTTTCATAATTGGTTTTGTATGCACACCTCCTTCTATGTTTTACAAATGTACTCAGGAATTTCTGTCTTCATTTTCTGGGAAGATTGCATATCAGGTAGAAAGGAATTCTGACACTGTCTGTCTGAGTGATTACTTGCTGACCTTTTGTTTGGGATATACTATTAGGAAATACTGCCATCACATGCCATCACAATTGCATGGTGAGCACTGTAATGCTACTGTAATGCTTGCATGCATCCTCTGCAGTGGAACAAAAATAATTCCCAGTTGTCTTTCTACTTGCATAATTTGATACAAGCATCACATTAGAAATAATACATGTAGATACAAACCTCACATTAGAAATAATATGTTCCCAGCTCTGTAGACAAGGAATGGAGGGAAGATGTTAACTTGGTGAGCCCACATGCTGGAGGAAAAGCAGGACATTAGTAGGGGGGGGCAAAGGTGATTATTTTTCTGTTTGAGAAGAAATATTCTAGGGGTTATCAGAGACTGATCCCAGGTGACAAAGGAAGAAGGCAATCTCTGAGCCTTGCTGGATTCATCTCTGAGTTTCAACACTCAGATCTGTGTATTGGCTCCATACCCATCTCTAGATCCTGTGACTTCAGCTGAAGTGGTTAAGGTTTTCAACAAGAGCTTTGATGGACACAGTACAGCTTAATTTGAAGACACTTCTCTCAGCAATAATAACATAGATTTCTACTATCAAGACCCAAAAACCCTGATGGGCTATATATACTACAGAGTTTTTAATGAGTCATTAGCATTATCATTTATTGCAACTAGATGTCTGCTTGAGCTTGGATCTTGATAACCTAGATCTACTTAACAGTGTTGAGTTTGGCTTTTGAAATAAGTCTTAGAATCCTTGTGTTCAAAAAGGCTTTAGAGCTATTCTAATCCCAAAATGTTTCTTTCTCGGAAGTAGGAGAAATCCCTGCAGCAGGGTTGAACAGCAATAGCAGACTATGGAGACTGCAATGTTATTTCTGTCTCTCCACCAAGCTGGTTAGACACCTAACAAAGCAATTCCAGTGGTGGAACCAAGGATCTACTCAAGCTCCTGGTAGAAATGGAGCACCTCCTGCCCCTGGATGCAGCATTGAAACCACGGGCACACCATGCTGCCTTCCTGACCACTCCTCCCCTCTCGCTGCAGCAGCAAGGTAATGGCTTCACCACAGCTCCTTAGAGGGATGAAGTGGGTTTGCAATTCTGTAAATGTTATTTCTGGTGAACATTTGTACAGAAGATGCATAGAAACCAGACCTGATGCAAGCCTTTCCATGATGAGCGGATATATAGTGGTACAGCCACTCCTGGGTCACACAAAACTGGATGCTACATTTGGCAGGGGTAACAAGGTAGTCAGCACCCTTCCATTTCCCTTGGTCATGAATGAATCCGTCCTTGACAAGAAACATCTCTGTGTTCATTCAAAAGATGAAATATAATCAGAATACCAACAATCAACATTGAACTTATTTATTCCATCTACACATCCATTGTTCCTTATTATTCTTGGTGCCTAGGAAAATGTTCTTTCTCTTCCTTTAAACAACTCTTGTCCATTGTTGCTGTTTACAATCTCCTTATTGTTGCTGAGGGTTGTCCTATTCCCTCCCTGTCATCGTTTAGGAAAGCTAAATGCATTTCATTATTTTAATCTTGAAAAGTCAATCCCTTAATTAGAATCTATGGTTTTAGAGCTACACTGGTGTCTGCAGTCTGAACATCACTAAAGCTGTTTTCTTACTAATTGTGCTCACAGGCAGGACATTTGTTACTGTTATTGATGACATTAATTTGTTTGGGGGTTTTGATTTTGTTTGTTTGTTTTTTAAAGACTGTTTATCTAGGTGAGAAGCAAAAGCCAAAATTCATTAAGTCATATTTTCACAGGATCAAAGCATAAAAGGCATAGAAAGCTATGATTTTCTTGGCTGGGATTTTAAACTGAAACATGCAAAGACAAATCTAAAAGTCTGGGGTCTGTAGACTGAGCACATCAAAATCTCTCAGTAAAACATGGAAATTTTAAGAACATGCTTTTAAAAGGAGGCTGTCAAATGCTGATCTGCTCTCTTCTACCAATTCCTAATGAGCATCAAAAATGTGGAAACAATACTTCATTCCTAATCTATCAAACATATTTTGCTAAAGAGGCATTTGGAAATTCAGTGGGAACAGTAATGCCAAAAAAATATTGCTTACCTTGTCCTTTCTCTCTTTTGTCTCCAGTTTTGCTCACTGATCACCCTATATGCAAGCTTTTAGGAAGAATTTTGTTCTTCTAGCATGCAATTGAAGAAGAATCAAAAAACCTTTACAAAGACACTGCAATGACTTTTTGAAGGTAAGTTTTGATGAGCCTCTCAGTTTGTCATTTCTTTTCTACATACTTAGGGATGTAAATTTTTTACATATGCCATTGGCCTCCACAGCACCCTACATAATAGTTCAGGCAATATATGTAATAACTGCTACCTGAGGGATACATCTTTCACCCTGTACATAAATTTACTGTAGCTTGAAAGTTTCTTTTGCTGGGATATGTCCCATTTGATTCAGTTCTGCTTAAATCAACTTTTTCATTACACATAATTTAAAGTTGCATTGTTTGGACATACAATATAGTGCTATTCTATCAAGGTGTGTTCAGAGTGTGTTTCTATCCATTTCCTCTGGCCACAGAGATTGTTAGGCTCAACTGTGTAGTGTGGCTTCCTCTACAGTGCTCAGGATGAACCCAGCTCTACCTATCCACTACATTATGCAGTCAATTCTCCTGTGTCCCACATTGTCATCTGCTATCTACTTCCAGTCTAAAAAGCAGCCTTTAAAAGGCATTTCTCCTTCACTTGGGAGATGAATCTAAGTAGTTGGGATTTCCTAGGCCTTGCCATGGCTGCAACTGCTTTTTCCACATCAGTCCTAGACTTGATGTGGCCTTACCTCTGGTGATAAGCACCAAAATAGCACCAGATCACACTGATGATTTAGCTGTGTGACTAATAGCATGCTAATGTTTGGACCTCTGCCCTGGTTGCCCACACAGATATGACATGAGGAAAGCTACCTGTTGGGCCATACCATCACCATGCTTTTGGGGATGCCCCTGTCTTTGTATATGAGCTTCTCAGCATTCAGTAGTGCACCTGCAACACCTATACATCCTAAGGGGTACAGCTGAGGCAGACAGGCTTCTCCTCCCTATTCTCCTTCTGCCCATGCAGCCTTTCCTCTACCACCCCTTAACTTGAGCAACAGAGTCTACTCCCTCTACAAATCTCTCCAACACTGTGATTTAAGCATTCTTGAGATTTTTAAGAGCTGCAGCCTAAAAACCCGATAGTTCAAAAACCTTCCTGTTTCCAAGGTGAGGTGGCAAACACTGAACACCATGAAAGCTGAACTCAGAGCCCAGTAGGTTAAGGCCCCTCTGGGAATTTCAGACCAGGTTGGGCGTCTTGTCTGGTCAGTCTGGATTATGACAGGTCTTAGGTGAAAGACATGAGGCATTTCCTGACATTGGGCTGTGTCTGAGCTGGTTCAAAACTTTTATTTGAAGGATTTAACAGCAGACTAGGACGTTTCTGGAGAGTAAACATCAAGTAAGTTAGACAGTGCTAAAGAATCAGTGGGCTGGATCCCTGGGATTTAGGCATGTGGATTTTGTCCAAGTCCCAGTATAATTCTGAAAGATGTACGTGTTGCTATTAATGCCTGTTCCTCAAAAAAAATCTGGCAAAAAAATTCATGTGCTAACACCTATATACCTATATAGCCATATATCTGCTGGCTTTGATTTTCAGTGAAACCTGTGTTTACACAGCTAAATGATGTGTCTGCATCAAAAGGCCCTTGGCATCCAGCTTGCCACTGTGCATTGTACACTACAGCTCTGTCCCAGGCCCAGGGTGAAATTCTCTGACGCACAGCCATCCTGGTACTGTAAATGGAGAGATTCATTCCTCCTGCCTAAATAGGAGACAAACTAGCTTTCAGGTAGCACAGAAAAACAGCAGTGAATACTTTACCGCCTAAAAGAGTAAAAAGCATCTGTAGAAGGAAGACCCAACCTTTAAAAGCATAAAAAATACTTAAATTTGGCAGAGAACAAAATATTTTTAAATTATGCAACATGAAACAGTTACTGACACTCCTACTGAAACATGACACTGGTTCCAGGATGTTCAGGCACTCCTGCTGGGATAGATAATCTGCATTTAAATTACAAGATTCAGCCATATGTCTGGCTGGAAAATGAAAAGGGTGGAATGATAGATACTACCTTGTGTTTCTTCTCTTGGAGTCTTTTTCGCCCTGCTCAGTCACTCTCATGCACTGAGGTCTGTTCCAGGATAAACCCTCTTCCTATTAGATAATATCCAAATGTCTCCAGGGCCTGTTTCAGAATCCAGCAGACTCTTTTTTTTTCTTTAGAAACCATATATCAAATCTTTGGTGGGAGCAAGCTTTTGACTAATACTCCCCTCTGGTTATTTAACTTGTAATAATGTATCAATTTAACCATGCAACTTTTATTTGAGATTTAGGCTATGACATATGTTCGGAGATTCATACTGTTCAATTTAGGAAAAGACAGATCTTCTTCATTTACAAAAAGGGTACACCCCCCCTATCCACTCTTGTGTGTCTGTGTGTACATGTGTGTGTGTATGAGTTTTAGAATAAGAGATCAGTATTTCTCTATCATTCAAGTGATTTTTTTTTTTTTTTTCCTCAGCTCGTGTTGACTATCTTTTGCTATTATCTTCCAGGGAAAAAAACTTATTTTCGTTTGACCTTCAAGTCAAAGCAGCATCTTCTTTGTAGCTGCTGAATATATTCTGTAATAGCTTGGGTTTTACTTTGTTTAGACTCTGAGAAGTTGCTGTTATAATATTTCCAATAATTTAGTTGTGCATTCTGAACCAAAACAGAATTAATTGGTGAGGAAAAAAAAATAAATCTCAGTTCTACTATTATGAAGAAGAAAATCTAAAGCAGCTCAAGATAAAAAGATGTTTGAAATATAGAGACTTTTCTCACATTTTCAGTGTCTTAATATTTTTTTGGCTTTTTTTGACATGTCATTGCAAATGGCTTGGATTCAAGAAACACAGAATACAGGCTTAGTGATTTGGTCATGGTACCAGTGGGTGGTAAAGGCATGATCTGGATTTAGAAATCTGGTTGCTGTGCTCTTCAAATCAGAAATACTCCCATAATTTATAGCAATCATTGTAAACCACTCAGGTAGCCAGAGAGGACACTGCACAGCATCAACTCATTGCCATGCTTGTAAATGCCACTTGGAGTTTGATGGGGACATTTTTAAGGTACACATGCAAGGAGCTGAGCTGAAAACTGGTGCTCTTCTGAGGGAGAACCTGCTTTTCTGGAAAAGACCATTTTGCAGGTGAGCAACACAGCGGTCAAAAGAAGCCTTACTGTGGTTTACTTTCTGTTCATCCAGCCTTGCTCTGCTTTGCCCTCCCTGCTTTTGAGATCCTTCAGTTAGATTGAGCCCTGACTGACCCCTGGCCAAATTGGTGTGGTATGAGGAATGTCACTATCACTGGGAATGACAAGGAAACTCTATATGCTCCCAGGCTGCTACCTGGATTCTGCTGTCTCCTGCCAGCAAGGCAGAGCTTTGAATTCATCTGTCACCTGCAGATCTCAGTGCTTTTATCACCACTTTTAAAAAAAAGTGGAAGAAGAAAAAGCGGAAGAACCATTAGTTCAGGCCAAGTGTGAACTGATAAAAATGTATGTCTTTGTGAATTGCTCTTAGAATTGTCACTGGTTTCTAGTAAGAGCAAAGAAATACAAGAATTAGTCTAATTACCCAGAAGGCACTTATTTTCATATACTCTTTGTTGTTGTTTTATTTCAGGACAGGTTTAATTAGAAGTAAGCGCTGGCACTAATCATATGGTATATGCTTCCTTTTGGAGCTTTGAAAGATCTTGCCTTGTGAGGGTGATAAATCATCTAAATGAGCATGCATGAAAACTTGTAAAATGTAATTTGGTACAGAACTTCTCCACACATGGCACATATCCTAGGCAAGTGTTTTATAAGAGAGGCCTGAGAGTTTTATGGAACACAGTTTGGCATATAGCATAAATAAACTGAACTTTGCATATAGGCCATACACAAAATACTAGATATCTGCTTAAAGAAAGACAGCATGACAAACCTCTAGGAGCCACAAAGTCTACCTGGTACATATTATGCATCTCAAAAACAATTGCCTAATGTTCGTGCTGATGCCAAAAGAACCCTTTGGGTCTTTCTGAGAAGAATACATACATCAGCTTCCATGAAATATGTCATCCCTTTCACTCATTTTAGTAAGGAAATACCAAAAAAACACTGTTTTAAAATAGCTTTAAGGATCTGATATAAATCAACAATAGCCAGGAAATTTAAGAAAGCCAAAGACTGACACTCCCTCTTCAGCACATTACACCCTGTTTTTCCAAAAAAAAAGCTAGAAACCTTGGGTATCCCATCTCATTTTCAGTTCTTGCTATGTCAGAACCGAAACCCTATGGAAAAGGTACCAGCAACAACAGAAGCTTCCACCTCAGACCTTACATGGCAAGGGCGAAATCACGAGAAGTCATATGTGCTTTACATAAAATATCAGCAACTTTTTCCCCTGAGACATGACCATGTCTCAGCAGCTGAGACTGAGTCCCTGTCCTACCCAGCTGCTCTCACCCCGAGCTGCTGCTGGTGCAGACACAGTGGCCTGAGGAAGGGAGAGATGCTGTACACATGCCAGAGGAGCTGCTCCCCAAAGCCTGTGCGGAGGACATTTTCCATTCTGGCTTTGGTTCAGGGGCTGAGGTGATCCTAAGGCAGTAACACTGCCAGTACCACTGCTGCCAAGCCTGTTGGCTCCCAGCAGCCTCCAGAGCTGCAGCACAGCCCCCCTGCACTGTCACAACTACCTGAAAGGAGGTTGTAGCCAGGAAGGGGTCGGCCTCTTCTCCCACGTAACAAGCAATGGAACAAGGGGAAATGACCTCAAGTTGCCTGAGGGGAGGTTTAGATTGGATATGGTGGAAAATTTCATCACCAAAAGGCTACCCAGGGAAGTGGTTACGTCCATCCCTGGCACCATTTAAAAGATGTGTAGATGTGGTGCTTAGGGACATGGTGGATTTGGCAGTGGTTGGATTCAGTGATCTTTTCCAACTGAAGTGATCCAGTGATTCTTTGAAAATATTAGATTCCAGTGCAGAATTAAATGATAAAGGAGGATTAGTAAAGGCTTTTTTAGATAGGTTACTGCTTTTCTTCTGGTCTCTTCTGTTGCAGTGATATCTGCAAGTT